AAAAAAAAATGCAGGACTGAGATTACAACTAAAAAAAAAATGCAGGACAAAATTTTTCATCCTAGCTCTCCCCCCCCCCCCCCCCCCCCCTAAAAATCAAATGGTAGCTCCCTTATAAATGACAATATTACACAAACTATCGATTTTTTTGCCTATTATTTCAATTATATAACAGCTGAATGATTCAGGCTCTATTAGGAGCCTCTTGTTTAGTTAAGCACGGTTAAAGTCAATACATTTTTAGTTAAGCACTGTTTAAGTCCATAACCTTTCCCTATAAAGTCTATGCAAAATATTTACAAAACTAAAATTTATTTTTCAAACGTTTCCTTTTTTCTGCCAGGAGGCATGAAACAAGGATGTATTTTTGGGCCCCATAGCATAGTCTATAACTTAGTTTATTACTACACCATCCAACTGAGAGCATTTAAAGTTGCTCAGTGTAATGATGTTAAACACCCCCAATCAACCGATATTTTTACTACAATTATAGTTCTGTTAAATAAGTGCATATAAAGAAACCATGTTTGCCTTCAGTTAATAACAATTCCTGACAAACTTTTAGATAAAATTCTTAAAATTTCTTTTTAGAATATTGCACGAAAGATTTAATGAATTTTTGAAAATCATGATTTTAAAACTTACTTATATATTTTTTAAAAAATGTTGAGGGCTGCATGATATCACAATATTTCACTAAGTTGCAATTCTCTAGTTTATAAGTCTCAGAGCCACTTGAGGTCCATAGGACTAAAGTTTACTTAAACTGGACCAGAGGTCATTGTTCTAGCATCTACAAAAAGTCAGTTGAGGTACTAAGACTTAAATGTACTTAAACTGGTCCAGAATGCATTGTTCTAAAATTCAATAAAAGTCACTTGAGGTACTTAAGACTAAAGTGTAAAAAAACTGAACTAGAGGGCATTGTTCTCAAATCTATAAAAACTTTCTCATGTCTGTCGATGATGCAGACTCAGTGTATATAATTGATCAACAGACTGTAAACATTGCATGTACTACAAGTCAACAAGCTGTTCTATAATTTGTTCAAGTTTCCAGTCTTTTGATGTTAAATGTAACAGGGCATGTATCAGTATATATGGTATTACTTGTGTAGGTGTGGGTCATGGGTCATGGTCTAAATCTTTTATTATTAACAAAGCAATGTTTTCTGATCCCAATGGTTTGCTGATGATGCGATAATTTTGAGAAAAAAACATCCAGTTGTTAATGGTTTATATTTTTATTTAAATGTTTTAGACATATTGCCCCCTTCCCCTGAACTTAGTAGTTTACTTTAAGGACAAAATTTTAATTCTAAATAAATATATATTACCATAGCAAGAAATAAAGATTTAATATCAGTTTTGCAAAACACCTCAAAGGTAAAGAGGTTGAATTTAATGAGATATTGGGTACTATACATGATAACATCATTCATATTACAATAATGAAATTATAATAAACCATCAATCATTATAGGATCTCCTTTCATAACCTTGATGAACAGCCCCAATTTCATCTGGTGTTGATGGATTCAGTATACTTAATATTTTTTTTATCATTCAATGGCAAGTAGTCATGTTTGACTTTTAAAAATTTGAGCAATTTTCAATGGTAATGTCATAAAAAAAAGTATATCTCCAGGATTTACATTTACTGTACATTTTAAAAAGAAATGGAACTCATCATCAATATTTTTATGGCTTCCACATATTTTAATTTCGAATTCAATTAATTATTTTCCTTAATCCAGATTTAAATTGGAAGACTGTTTGTTGACCTCTAAATGTTTTTTTTTTTATTATATGGTGTTTTTTTTTTTTTTTTAATTGTTATTTTACTCAAATTTGATGAGAATGAAAGAACAAAATTTTTTTTTTAGTTTTAAATTCTCTTCTACAGATACAATAAGGGGGATATTGGAAAAAGGTTTTTTTTTATTTGTGCCTTGTTTCTTAAATTAAGTGATTAAAAAGGAAAAGTAAGCAGTTGTTGAAGTAAACTCACATATGTTTTTCCCAAATACAAATACCAATAAGTGTTGTACTTTCATTTTGCTTAGGCTGCAACCTGGTTTTTTGCCAAACCACAAAACCACTTCAGCTTATATCGGAATTGTCAACAGAAATTGTAATAGGCGATAATGATTTAATAATACATCATTTGACATCTGGTTTGAAATTGTTAATACTTGTTGGTCATTATTGATTGCTTAGCAAGTAATAAAATGTACTACTTGTATTTTTGCACTTCCAATTTGTCAATTTCACATTTCCAGCTATTTTTAAATAGCAAGAAATAAAATGGAGTACTTGTATTTTTGCACTTCCAATTTCTCAATTTCACATTTCCCTATTTTTAAATAGCAAGAAATGAAATGGAGTACTTGTATTTTTGCACTTCCATTGTCAATTTAACTTTTCTATATTTTTAAATACCAAGTAATAAAATGGAGTACTTGAATTTTTGCACTTCCATTTTCAATTTAACTTTTCTATATTTTTAAATATCAAGTAATAAAATGGAGTACTTGAATTTTTGCACTTCCATTTTCAATTTAACTTTTCTATATTTTTAAATACCAAGTAATAAAATGGAGTACTTGAATTTTTGCACTTCCATTTTCAATTTAACTTTTCTATATTTTTAAATATCAAGTAATAAAATGGAGTACTTGAATTTTTGCACTTCCATTTTCAATTTAACTTTTCTATATTTTTAAATACCAAAAAAAAAGTAATACAATGGAGTACTTGTATTTTTGCACTTCTAATTGTCAATTTAACTTTTCTATATTTTTAAATACCAAGTACTAAAATAGACCTTATTGCTATTTGGGAATCTGCGACGCTTAATGACCCAAGACTCTGCGACACTTGAACTATAGACGTCATACAACATTCACTTTTCCATTGTGGGGTCAGACATTTTCTTTGGTGACGTCGAAATTTTACGGTTACCTTTGTGATGTCCAGTAATGGCGGAATAATAGCGATAATGTGTATGGAGTACGTCTATTTTTGCACAGATCATTACAGGATGTAACATTTCCCTATGTTTGAAAATAAAAACCAGCAAAAATCCGTTTGAAATATTAACTTTTGCAAAGTATGACTCATTAAGCTTATATGTTATACATATTTTGTCAGTTTTCTATACAATGTACTTAACACTGGGTATATCAAACTATGATATCATATGTATAAATCAAAATGTATATTATATATTCCTCCTTTAATTTAATATGAGGCAGGCATTACCTGTGAAAGGGGACGAAGTCTATATAAATTATTTTTTTTTAATTCAAACATATTTTAAGTTCTAAATCTGTTAAAAAAAGAAACGGAAATACCGTAACGTTTCCGATTTTGGTTCTGTTGTTAGGGATTTTAGTTGTGACGTTATTTTAGTTATGACGTCATATTCAATGTAAACAAAGAAACGCTATCATCAGGTAACGTTTTTTCATATCAAAGAATAATTAGAAATGAAATTGTTATTGTGTTCCTTCCTATATTTTACTGGACTGATAAATATATATTTCACTCAGTCTCATGACAAATGAGACCGGAAGAAGGAAGTAGATTTCTGGGCAAATGCGGGAATTAAAAAAAGTTACAAAAAAAAAGTTAACGATTTTGAGTTCATTAGTACAATGAAAATTTCGGGAAATTTTCCCGATTTTTTTTTTTTTTTTTTTTTTTTTTTTTTTTGATTTTTCTACTGTTATAGGGGACTTCGTCCCCTTATTACACAATGAGTTACCTCCCCCTTACTGATTTGAAGCTGGAGTAATTTAATTGAATGTATTGAAAGTCACAGTGGCGGATCCAGAGGGGGGTTCCAGGGGTTGGAACACACCCCCCCCCCCTTTTTTCTTGACGATCAATGCATTTGAATGGGAACATATAGATGGAACCCCCCTTTATCCTGGGTTGCGAACCCCCCTTTTAAAAATGGCTGGATCAGCCCCTGAGTCATATAACCAGTACACAGATTTCCCATTTGGCCAATATTATAACAGGAAATACTAAACTTTTATGGGGCATTCTTGGTTAATACTTGGTAATGGAGTAATTTTTATTGGTCAACTGAGGTTACACCAGTTGAATTCTTAATAGGAAAATTATTTTAATGTTATTTAGTTCATTGTGACTTGACTGCTCTGATTGAATAATATTAAAATTTGATGAGGTAAATCCGCAATATTTCTACGATGCATTTAGAAATACCTTTGGAAGAATCTCAATAGATAACAAAAAATCTCATCTACTGTGTAAGGGACTATTTCTCGATGAAAGGATATATTTTCCCTTATATGGTGATGAAGATAATATTGAAAATATGTCCCATTGCGAAATTTTTTCTTAACCAGGAACAAGGAAATCACAAAAACTAACTATGCTTACAGACATCGCAAATTTAAATTTGTGACACTAATCCACACTACAGGCTTACAGTAGTAGTTTCACTATAAATATATATACAATATTAGGTCAATGTCAGAAAAATATAGACTTTTTTGTATGAGGCTGAGAAACTGGGGAAGGGCGATGTTGTTATGAGCCCCTCCCCAGTTTTGTGCCAAATATAAAAAAGTTTATATTTTTCTGACGTTGACCTAATATTGTTTTTATACTGCAACTTAAATTAATACATTGATAGCTATTTAAATTGTAGCATAAATCTCAAATATATTTTCATCCCTAAATGAACCCCTGATTGTGGAAAATGTGATCCATGATGAAATTGACATTGCACAAAATATAGCTTTGTTACTATATTTAGGAAATAAGCACAGCTAGATGCAGTATAAAAAGGTATACAATATAAACCTAATCGTGATACATCTAGCAGACATATAAATTAATTAAAGTCTCCTCGTAACTTGTACTTTCAAAAGCAACAGTTAAAAACACAGTTTAACTTTTTCGAAAAATCATCTCATATTGTGTATAATGGCTGTAAGTTTCATTATTATTTTATCTCTGTTGTAGATTACAATACAAATACTGGATTTTTCTGATTATGACCTCTTTCAAGATATATAAGGAATCCGACTGCATGCGGTTTAATCTGAAAGCCATCACAGTTATTCAGAAGTAATATATAGGTATGACATTTCTTAGTAAATTTCCTGATTTCAGTCTGGATGTAAGAACATATGAAATACAAATACTGTAAAATGGGTTATTTATGCAGAGTTGAAATTAGAAAATGTCAGAGCCCAAACAAGGTTTTATTTTTTGTGTTTTTGTATCATATTCTGATCTTTCTTTAATTCAGAGATCAATTTTACACGTGGGGATATTTTCACCATTCTATCTAAATGCAAAATTAGTGATAATTTCTCACATTAAAGTAATCAAAGTTTAACAGCCACAGAAAGAGATAGGAATTTGTTTGCATGGACCATATTTGTCTACCTCGAATACCTTCAAAAAATTAAAAAATTACTAAAAAATTATGAAACTTTTACAGAAAATTAAAAAAAATTTTTTTATTGTTATATATCTTGTTTTTTTTTTTTTAAATTAGTATTATTAATAATATTGTTCTTATACATGAAAATGAATGAGGTGTTGGAACAGTAAAAAACAATTTGAGCTTGATATCATCTAAAAATGTTAGTTTTAAGGAAATAAAACATTAATTTAATGGGATGTAAAGTTGGATATGATACATATATCATGTAACATAATATGTTTATTAGATCCCAGTTTCATAATATGAAAAATTCATGACTTGAACTAGCTAGTACTATGAAATATTATACTATCATATTTATTTAAACAATATACCCATCTCTGGATAGCTGTAAAGTATTTCACAAATATATTAATATCACACCTGGGTGAAATTATATCTTACATTACAACAAGTCAAGGACAGTATAGACATGATAGATGTTATAAATACTCAATAGATTTAACAAGGTTTGCAATCAAACTTCTGTGTATTAGACCTCTGAGATTGCTTGATTAATAATGGTGTCAAAAGGTTATCTTATCTCATCATATATTTACAATATTGGAATTTAATTATCATTAATGAAACTGTAAAATTTGGCTCAAACATTAAACTTGCAATGAGGTGAGTTTTTTTGCTTGGTGTTGACGGCCTCACTGTGACTTTGAGATGAAAACAGCAATTAAAGCACTGTTCCTTTCCTTTTTCATGTATTTTGCTGTGCAATATACTGATTTTTGTGTCATGAATGGATACCCCATATCCTTTTTCTATTAAATTTCTCTTTGCTGATTTTTTTACAACGTGTAGAGCTAAACTTGTTGGTTTCAACAGTACTGCAAAAGTGTAAAATTATCATATAGAGGGTTTTTTTTGCTACTTTCGTGATTATGATAAAATAAAAAAGATATAAAAAGATATCTTAAAGAAAAAAATCATAATTGGACACCCCCCCCCCCCCCCCCCCAAAAAAAAACAAACAAAAAAACAAAAAAACAAAAAAAACAAAGGAAAGGAAAACAACCTCACAAACCAGTTTGGCCCTAGAAATCACAAAATTTTTAATCAACCAAAATAAACTTCTTAACATTTATATCATGCTTTCATTAATGTCTTTGAATTTAAGTCATATTTTCAGTAATTTACTCTTGGAAAGTTTTTAAGTGGTCACTACTTGTTTCATTGAATTTTAACTCTCATTTAACAAGTTATATAATTCATGTGTCAAACAGTAATTTTCTTGGTATTATTTTTAAAAAAAAATCGCTTCTGAGTATATGTTAACACTTACAATTCCCAATTTGGGTAAAATCCAAAATTCAACTTTTTTAATTTTAAGTGCGATTTTGATGTAGGTTTTTTCCCTTTGAGTTACTTTTGAAAATGAACCATATTTATTAATTTTTAAAAAAAATAATGTATCATGAGTTGTCTCCTGACTGGTTTGTGTATTTCAATTTTGTAATGTATCAATTTGTATTTCAATATTTCTATTAATAATTATTATCAATTTCAATGTGTACACTCCTAAGTTGTAACCTTTTCACTTTCAAATCCTTTACAAATCTATTGTAGGAAGCATGTCATCAACTACTTATGTCAATTACCCACATCAATGCTGCTAGCTAATCAGGTCGTAGCAGGTAATTGATTAATTGATTGCCGCTATAGTCATTAAGACCAATTTGGGATTCAAATAATCCAACAGAGAAAAATACCTTTAAGGCGGAAAAGCTTATCAGAACTATCTTTATTGTCTAACAATTCATCAGGCTTTGTCAGAGTGGAATGAAAGTATAGAGAGTATTTATGATACAGAATTATTTCGTAAACACAATTTCTACTGTACTTGAAATGACATTAAGCTAAGCAGCTCAGATTTCATTAAACACTGCTAAAGAGATCTGAATGCATTTTATAGAAAATCTAACATGAATGAACTATGTTTTTTATTGCTGCGTCGTACAATATAATCAATTTTTTTCTCCATAAAATAGCGATTATTTGATGAAAAACAAGAATTCGACACACGATATGGAAGTTAATTAGATTTTTTACGAAAATTGTTATATAATTATACTAAATGTTTTCCTTTGTGAGACATTGGGGAGTCCTCCCTTTTTTTGTTGATATATACAACTTTTCACAAAGAGGAAGGTCGTGAATTAGGTCATGAGAAGATAGTTATTTTTTCTAAGAAACATTTCAAGTACTAAATTTCATGTAATAAAGGAGTAGCTAACAGATGATTTAGGTTAAAATTATATAACTTTTACGATTTTATCAGACAGAAATGAACATGAAACCTCTTTTATTACAACAATATGACAAGATGTTTTTTTTTTTTTTTTTTCATTTTGTAAAATCTTATTTATTAATATTTTGTACCAACCATACAGAAAATCTTTCTTCTTACAAAATTAAGTATGAGGGTCCAAAGGGGAAGGAAGGGGGTAAATATGTGAAGAAAGAAAGTTTTACATTTGTCATTTTGGGGCCTTTTATAGCTTACTATGTGGTATGAATTTTGCTCATTGTTGAAGGTTGTATGTTGACCTATAGCCATTAACTTCTATGTCATTTGGTCTCCAGTGGAGAGTTGTCACATTGGCAATCATACCATATCTTCTTATTTTTATAGAAACCACAATTGCCAAAAATAAGATGAAAATAACAATCCATAAAACATGAACTACAGTAATCAGCTATATATAGTACGCAGTTGTGTATAATACACACCCCATTTTCATCAGCTAAAACTTGTGAAAAAAAGTCGAGTTAAAAAATTTTTTTTAATTCTACACAGAAGTGATGCCAACCTGGATGAACTCAAGTTATCCCGAAAGGTCAGCAGTTCTTGCTCCACTGATTAACCTGTCGTGTATAACTCCTGGTCAAATCTGTTGATTTGTTATATCCTTGAATCAAATGGATATTAAGATAACAGTGAAAGCAGGTCTAGTATCCGCTCGACATTGTCAGTTATTCTGTCATTCTGTCTAAAAGACCTTGGATAATAAACTTTCATTAAAGTTTTCTTGGCTTCTATGAAATGGAATATTTATTTATTTGGTCTGCAGCTTGATCATTTTGAGTTGTAGTGTGTAAGCAATTTTTAGATCTGTCATGCTGCTACTTCTTATGTGCCCACAGTTAAAAATTTGACAACCCTTATTGTACATGAAAAATGTTCATCAATCTTTTATCAGCTTCTAACAGAAGCAAAAACTTTTTATTTGATCTGCAGCTTTATAATGTTCAGTTTTAGCATGTAAGCAATTTTTACATTTGCAGTGCAGCCACTTCATGTTGGCTAATAATTTGAAATTTAACAACACTTTTAATACATTTTGTACAAGGAAAATGTTTCTCCTTTTACAAAAAAACATTACATCAATAAAAGTCCTTTATTAATTCTTATCCAATTGAAATATAGTTTTGGAAATCATCTTCATCAGTTTTGCTTCTGTTGACATCAATCAATTCCATGCAGTGACACAAGTCTGGACCCATGCAGTGACACAAGTCTGGACCCATGCAGTGACACAAGTCTGGACGTGGTATTTGAGTCTTGTTACCTACCATTCTGCCTGTCTGTCAAAGATACCTTTGAAAGAAAGTTTTCCTCAAAGTTTTCTTGGCTTCTATGATTTTGAATTTGATTTGCAGCTTGATAATGTTGTTGTAGCATGTAAGCAATTTTTAGAATTGCCATTCAGCTACTTCCTGTTTACGGATAGTCTGACATTTCAATCAATTGTACACAGCGATGCAGAGTGTCGGCATTGGTCTTGTTTTCATACAAAACAGGCTAAAAATGTTTTTTTGAATCAGAATAAATCATATTCAAAGTAGATTTGGGGTACATGTAGTGATCATGAGGGTCTGGATAGGGTTGAGAGAATTGAAAATAATGGGCCAATTGTACAGAAAATGGACAAAAATCATAAAAAATATAAAAATAAGGGGGGAAAAAATAAAGAATAGAGAATAATGGACAAAAAATATAAAGAAAAGAGAAAAATGACCTGAAATATTAAAGAATACAGAAATGAAGCTACACCCTATCTAGACCCTTGTAAATGTCAATGAGGCAGCAGCCTAACAACAGTGAAAACAATACACACATCAAAAGTTTTAATTATAAAAGGAAAGGTTTTAGATGGCACCTTTGGACAAAAGAACTGAAATTTTTAAAGTTTTTCAAAAAGAATTTATTCTTGATTGCAGCTCTTTGATAGAAATAGATTAATATAAAAGTACACAACTTATCTAAACTGGGTGACACATTAGGGAGAAAAAGAAGATTTATATGTATGTGCTGTTTTTGTTGTCTTTTACTAAAATGATTAGGGAATTTTAAAAGAAAAAAATGAAATGTACCATAAAATATTAAAATATTTTTAATGGAGAAATAATGGAATGGAAAGAGGATTATGTAATTTTGTTGTTGCTTTTAACATAAATTGCTTGGAAATTCAAAGTAAAAATAAATAGTTGAGTACAAAATGATTTAACAAGTGCAAATAGGGAAGGATGAGTCAATTTCTAATTAATTTAATGTGGAAAATATTTATCCATAATACCACCTTAGGTATATGCTTATCTGTCTATAATCGTATTTCCTCAGAATAATATGAAATAGAAACTCTCGTCAGAAGCATGTTAACAACCAATTAACTTTCCTCTGGCTATTTTTGATATCAAAACAAACCCCATGTCAATTTCCATATTTCAGTTTAATGAAATAAATGCACTCCCTAAAAAAAATGGACAATTTTTTTCCTCCATTGAACAATATTTTATGACATAAATGATTTTTCCGAGACATTTATGGGAAAGTAATAGTTTTATGGACGATAACATTTATGATATTCACATGGCTTTTAAAATGATTTAGATGATCTGCCTTCATTTTGTTCTCAAGTATTTCATGATAGTTGGCAGTTAGTAAGAAATTGTTATGCACTAATACGATGCAACAGACATCTAATATTTTTAATGGAAAAATTAGAGGGTCCAGATGGGGGAGGGTCTTTCAATTCTCTATTCTTTATTTTTTTGAATATTTTTCTCTATTTTGCCCATTACTCTCTATTCTTTGCATTTAAACATCCCATTATTCTCTATTCATTATTTTTTTGAATATTTTTCTCTATTCTTTATTTTATGCCCTAGCTGCTAGGCGTCGGGCGTCCGTCACGTATGTCCCCAAACGTAGTTTCCGTTTTCTAACTTAAGTTTGCCTCAACCAAATGTTTTAAAACTTTTACACAATGCTTATTACCACAAAACACAAATCAAATTTGAAATTGGATGGCGTCACTTTTACTGTTCACGAGTTATGCTCCTTTATAAACATAAAGATTGCTGAATTTTTCGTTTCTGTTCTCTAACTTTAGTTTGCCTCAACCAAATGTTATAAAACTTTTACACAATGCTTATTACCACAAAACACAGATCAAGTTCTAAATTGGATGAAGTTACTTTTACCGTTCACGAGTTATGTCCCTTTATAAACATAAAAATTGCTGAATTTTTCGTTTGCGTTTTCTAACTTTAGTTTGCCTCAACCAAATGTTATAAAACTTATACACAATGCTTATTACCACAAAACACAAATCAAGTTTGAAATTGGGTAGCGTCACTTTTACCGTTCTTAAGTTATGCCCCATTATAAATGGAAAAATTGCTAAATCTGTCGTTTCCCTACTCTAACTTTAGTTTGCCTTAACCAAATGTTATGAAACTTATACACAATGCTTATAATCACAAAAAGGTCTTAACTACATGAATCCTGCATCTGTATATGTGGAAGTTGACTCATGCATACTTACAAGCCAGGGCATCTGTAACCCATAGACACATTCTCCATTTATTTTGACCCATTTGTCTGTAGTATTAGTCCATTATTCTCTATTCTGTAAACCCCATCCAGACCCTCATATTAGGTGTTCAGTAAGCACAGTAACATAAATTTTAAAAAATTGCTAAGCATAGTATTGATTGTAAATGCAAGAGTCACATTGTAGTAATTATATTTTATCGAAGGTAAATTCAGAAATTATTGCAAGGTTTTTATTAAGGCACTGGCTACGGTTACATGGAAATGTAACAATAATATAAAAATTATTGTTACATTGGAGACTAATTGCCGGAATGCAGGGTTGGGTAAGGAACCAATTAATTACGAATGTAACAATAATATTTGGGTCTACGGTTACATTGCGTTATTGTTACATTAACGCACTGCAATGTACGATTGGAATAGTAATAAATATGTACTAAAATAAAACTTGAAAACTTTTTTTTAATATTTACAATATTGCATACAATATTTTGATTTTTTATTTACAATGACAGTTTCTACAAATCCAGTATGTTGTTTTTGGAGCATGTTTTAGTCCGACGCATTTCGGTGAAACCACTCTAAGCAGCCATCACAAACCAGTGATACGGCAATGTGCACGCTCTATATTGCATACCGTACAATTCCATTCTGCATTTTCCCTTTATGAAGTTTAAGAAACTTTCAATGTCTTAATGCTATGCTTCAGGTGAAAAAAATTTTGTTACTCTTGCGATGTTTACATTTTCGTCCAATATTTTTTTTGGAAGCATGTTAGGTTGTTTAAATACAAGTCTGAAAGCAATTAATGTTGACATTTGCCGACAGATTGAAATTGGTGGAAACAGTGTTTTCATTTTCAGAGTCCAGATATTTTGTGATCTTATCAGTCGTGACAGTACATGCTCTATTGAACAGTTCATTAAGTATTCATCAATAGTGATATTGAACTAAACTGTAGTAGTCATGATTTTTAACAACACCAAAACAATCAATACTTATTAGCAGAATAATATTATTATTATTAATATTATCTAGTACCTATCGAAGAATTAAGCAACATAACTATAGAAGGTTTAAGTTTAATAAATCTATCATACATTGCAGTCTTTAATGTAACAATAACGCAATGTAACCGTAGACCCAAATATTATTGTTACATTCGTAATTAATCGGTTCCTTACCCAACCCTGCATTCCGGCAATTAGTCTCCAATGTAACAATAATTTTTATATTATTGTTACATTTCCATGTAACCGTAGCCAGTGCCTTTTATTAATGTGAAAGTGTGAGTATGGCAAAAATAAGACCTTGCATTTTCATATATCTGATACATATATAAGTATGCAGATTTTCCTGAAATTGCAATAATTAATTTTGCATTTTTTACCTTTTTTTTTAAATTGCAATAAGAACTGGCATTCTGATATCTGATACATATATAAGTATGCATATTTTCCTGAAATCACAATAATTAATCTTACATTTTTTACAATTCTTTAAAAAAATCGCAATAATAAATGCACACAATAATTTTCTGAAGTTACAGAATATGGTATATATTTTTGTAGAATTGTATTTAGATTTTTGCCAGCATCAGTTATGGATTTGATTCTTCCAAATTGAGTTTACTGATATATCAGCAAAGCCAGAAATTTTTAATTTGCCATTATCAAACTGCAGTGTGATGCTGGGAAAAATTGAAATGTAGTGAAGTTATTTACTATTCTAATGCAAAGGTTCAAATATGGGGAGTGACAGCATGGGTCAGATGCACTCGACTTCAATCTTAATTGACTAGGATTGTCAGTTTTCCTACCAAAAGTCGGTGGTTCTGTCCGGCCATTCCGGCTTCCTCCACCATTAAAAACTGACCGCAACAAAGAAGTACAATACGTGTTGAAAGTGCCGTTTAACACCAATCAATCAATCATTAGACGAGTTTTCTAAATAGTTCATCTGCAATTATCATTAGCCTATCTACACTGTGGTTGTGAGTTCGGAAGCTTGCTTTGGCATGGAAGTTTGACTCTGATTTGAATTGACTAGGTTTAGCAGTTTTTTTCCTGAAGATTGTCAGTTCTCTCTGGGAACTATAGCTTCTTACACCAATACACCTTATCGCTTTTAAGTACAATCTGAAAAAAAAGTCACTTATACAACTTCCTGTTTGGGTCAAGTGCTGCAAAAACAAAGGTCATCAGTAACGAGCTGAGGGAGGAAAAAGTTTAGAAAGCGAACATTTTAAAACTTTGATAGATTATGATCCACTTTTTTAAACACAAATTAAAGTAATAAAAATGCTTTGTTTGAAGTGTTTACAATGGTTTAAACATTTCTCTTAGTTTTATCAGAGACATATAATACTATGTCTCTGGTTTTATGCATGATACATTGTTTAAACAGGACCCCAGATATCTTCAACTGGCTGAAAAAGTTGTAATTTTAGAACTTATCCGGACTTGATTAAATAGCGATAAGGTGTATAAAAACTGGCGGTCATGATGATATAGCCAAGAGTGCTGAAAGTGGCGTTAAACACCAACAATCAATCAAATAAAGGGAAATAACTTTGTATCTCTGAGAAAGTTACCAATTAATGCATACTATTCTGATTAATTTGATTTTAATGGAAAGAATGAAATTTTTTGAGGTAAAAACAAACATTAGGTTCACAACACATAAACAAGTTTATTTTTAGTCCAGAGTTATGACCCTTTAGCATTTTTGTAGTGCAACAGCGTAATTAAGTAACAAAATAAGCTAACAACAATTATGGAATCGAGATTGTGCACCTGCCTACGTGATCCAAATACAACACAAATATCGTGAGAATTATTAATTTTGAGAATTAGGATATTAGAATTAAAGATTTCAATAATAAAAGAGTTGAACGAGATATTCTAAATATAACGCAACTTTTTCAATAAATCCGTTTTGTTAAGTCTGAAATTACTTAATAAAGTACTTTGACGTATATAGGTAAGTATGTAGACTAAGTGCGTAGAAGCTTTGTAGAGTATATTACATAAAGAATTACAAAATAGTTTATTTTATATGTCTCTTTATATATTTAATATCGTCTTATGTTGATCCTTTTATGACGAAGGAATGATGAGGATGTGGATGGGGGTTTACAGAATAGAGAATAATGGGCAAAAAATAAAAAGAATATAAAAAAAATGGACCAAAAAAATAAAGAATAGAGAATAATGAGGCGCCAAAATATAAAGAATAGAGAATAATGGGCAAAAAGTATAAAGAATAGAGAAAAATGGCCTAAAAATTTAAAGAATACAGAAATGAAGGACTTCCCATCTACCCCCTCAATGATAATACGCTGAAATTGTGATTGTTAAAAACTAATATATCTATTACAAATGACTTCTTAAAAGATTTTCAGACTAAGTTGGTTTGTATTGACGTAATTTGATGTCATTAGTTTGGATAGTTGAAATGAAAATAATAATTACATTAACAGATTTTAGGTTTTTGAAAAACTAAAATGATTTGAAATCTCCAAATGACGCCACTACATAGGTGTATGAACCAATTTTCTTGCAATCAATGACAACTCTGGTTGATTTAAATGTAGAAAAATCAAATTGTTTTACAGGATTTGACTTTATTATGTCATCGTGTTTTTATATTTTAAGATTTGACTTAAAAACTGGGTTTTATCTCTAAAAAAAGCCTCTTCACTAATAATGTTGACAGATTTAACTTATGGAACTCAATTTTGTCTTATTTTCAAATATTAACTTATTTTCTTTCCGGGCTATTCCAGGGGAAAAATGTATGAGGTTGGGGATTAGACAACACTTTTTTTATAACACAACACCCATAATTATTTTTTTTCATTTGTAACAGAATTAAATTTGTTTCCACCCCTATTACCCAAAAGCAGGGCTTTTAAATTTGAAAATTTAACTTGCTCGAGTTGAAAAATATCGTATCACACTCGATACAGTGGTAGAATCAATATTTATCAATACCCCCAAAAAATTATTCAGGAGATTTGCATGATATTATATAGCGACAAATGTTCAATTCTGTGAAGTTCATTTGTCGTCCAGTATTGAGGGAGCAACCATTTGACTTCAAGGGGAAGGAGGGGGTATGGTTTTTTGTCTGAGTCAGAAAGCGCGAACATTTTTTTCTGTTTTTTGATGCTATCAATCAAATTATTTTTTTCAAAATTCAACACTATAAGGTATGGGGAAAAAATTCATGCTATGTCTGAAATATGACCAACAACCTAGTTAAATATTTATTGAAATTCGAACAGAGCCCCAAGTGCTCTAAAAGAAAGCAATCTTATTTTATCAGATAGATACAACACCATTTGGTATCCTGTCTGATAAGTACACTCAGATTCACAATCAATAATCTTCATTATGATTTTTTTTCATTTATTTTTAGGATTTGTTTTCGCTCAATCGATGTATGACTATTGAACAGCGGTATACTACTGTTGCCTTTATTTAGCCAAAAGTATGTATTGATACTGGTTCAAGCTGAGTTTTCAATGGAGATGATGGCATGCCAACATGTCCTATGGTATTACATTGGAGAGCACTCAGTGTTTTAGAGGAAATTTTGGCATTTTAGACATCAAAAGTTTAGTGACAATAGAACACAGGTGATAACAAGGTAGATACTGAAATCTCTGGTTATTTGATGACCTGGGCAGGTATTGAAAAATCTTGGATGAACGCTTCAATTCCCGGCTGTGACTCGCAGAAAAGGAATAGTTGACAGGTATGGCAAACATGAACTCCACCAAGTGAATCCTACAAGAAAAAGAAAACAGTAGGACACATCAAGGCAGCCATATATGTCTCTAGATTTTCAAGTGAACAAAACAATCAAAACAAACTGGAATATCAAACATGAACTGTTAATTATTTGCAATATACCATCAACTGATGGTTTTTTTACTTATTTTATTTTGCTATATGTCACTATATTGAATTATATAAATTTGTTATAGTTATGTTTTTAACCATTATGAATTGTTCTGTTCCCAGCACAACTGATCTGGAAAGGGTATTTTGTCCGCCTGATAACTTTCCAGAACCGATAATTATATCTGAAGATAACAATTGATCTATATTGATAAATTGCAACTGGATAACGACTGGATTATTATTTCTATCCAGAATGGATAGTTTTATCCGCAAGATATACGTTATCTGAAACGGATAAAAACAGGGCAGAAAATTATAAAAAGAGCCTCAAACAATCACCAATTCATTCTTCCTCTAAAGAAGGTACAGGAAGTACCAAAACCAGTCAGTTATAACATTTATATTTCCAAACTCTGTTAGCATTTTACATTTTCTATTTTTAACATTCATTATTACTTTGAGGCTTTTGAACTTGCTAAGCTATCAGCCTAAAAACTAACTATAAACGGCTTCTTGTCATGACGGAAGTTCTAAAACAGATTTATTGTCATAGAACCTAATATCCTGTATGTTCGTTATTAAATTTCACATCAACAAACCCAATTAAGATTATATAACAGTATCTCCTGTTTACAAACAATTAAATTGTACATTTGTCTGTCATAGGAACAATACCTCCGGTTGTAAAATCTTAATATTAGGCATATAAAACAAACAAAAAACCAATTGCGTGTGGCAGTTTATGGATGGCAGTCATTGTTGTGAGTTAGAAACAAACTATATTTATATCACTGCTGAATAGACTTTTTCTAATTTATAACTAAAAAAATATGACTTACTAAAGATACTTTGACTAGTACAAGGTCAAACTATTATGTGGATACTCATCCCTCTGAGAAATTGCGCAGTAGAAATCTGTCCAGAAAAAAAAGAACTACTCAAAGAAAATCAGTCCCAAAAAAAATGCTTAATGAAAATCAGTCCTGAAAAACTGCTTATTTAATATTAGTCTAGAAAACACTGCTCAATAAAAATAGTCCAGAAAAATACTGCTCAATAAAAATAGTACAGAAAAAGACTGCTCAATAAAAATAGTCCAGATAAAGACTGCTCAATGAAAGTCAGTCCAGAAAAAGACTGTTCAATAAAAGTCAGTCCAAAAAAGACTGCTTAATGAAAATCAGTCTTGAAAAAATTGCTTATTTAATATTAGTCTGGAAAAAAAGACTCAATAAAAAGTCAGTTCAGAAAAGACTGCTCGATGAAATCAGTCCAGAAAAGACTCCTTAATAAATATTAGTCTAGTAATTCTGCTCAATAAAAGTTAATCCAGAAAAGACTGCTCATTAAAAGTCAGTCCAGAAAAAGACTGCTCCATAAAATTAAGACTCAATAAAAATCTAGCTAGAAAAGACTGCTCAATGAAATCAGTCCAGAAAAGACTGCTCAATAAATATTAGTCTAGTAATTCTGCTCAATAAAAGTTAATCCAACAAAGACTGCTCAATAAAAGTCAGTCCAGAAAAAGACTGCTCAATGAAATTAAGACTCAATAAAAATCTAGCTAGAAAAGACTCAGCTCAATAAAATTGGCTAGAAAAAAAATTGCTAGATAAAGTTTAGACTAGAAATAAAACTACTCAATAAAAATCTGACCAAAAGAAAAAGTGCTCAATAAAAATCTATCCAGAAAAGACTGTTCAATAATAGCCAATCCAGAAAAAAACTGCTCATTAAAAGTCACAGAAAAAGATTGACTGTCTCAATAAAAAAACAGAAAACCCCCTCTCATCACAACAAACAGTTCAGAGAAGACCGCTAAATAAACGCCAATTCAGAGAAGACTGCTAAATAAACGCCAATTCAGAGAAGACTGCTAAATAAACGCCAATTCAGAGAAGACTGTTACATAAATGCCAATTCAGAGAAGACTGCTCAATAAAAGAAAGTCCTGAAAGAAACTAAATATGAGACCAAAAAAAAGTACTGCTCAATGAAAATTGATGCAGAAAAATGCTCCATAAATTCAAGACAAGAAAATACTGCTCAATAAAAGACAGTTCAGAAAAAACTGCTCAATGAAAGCCAATCCAGAAAACAAATGGTCCAGAAAATGAAGATTAGAAAGAAAAAAAACTGCTCAATAAATATAAATCTAGAAAATACTGCTAAATAAAAGCCAGTTCAGAAAAAGACTGCTCAATAAACAGCAGTCAAGAAAAAGACTGCTCAATAAAAGAAAGTCCAGAAAAAAGCTACTTAATAAACGCGTCCAGAAAAAGACTGCTTCATAATATCAGTCCTAAAAAAGAATGCTCAATAAGAATCGGGCTAATAAAGACTGCCCAAAGCCAGTCTATAAAAGTGCACAATAATCAAGTAATCAGTTCAGAAACAGACTGCCCAGAAAATAATCAATCTAAGAAAGCACTTTAAAAATCCCAAATGGTTGAAACTGAAGGTTTTCTGTAGGTGTTGCCTTTTTCCCTCAATGAGTGCTTTTATCTCTTTTTCATGTACATAAATAAGTCAATTACATATAGGTACTAAAAATTTCATATCAGTTTGAACTTTCTTTGTAATTAATTATAAACTATTATGTTATAACAAATTCAATTACTTTTGTGTGCCAATGTCTGATACTGCACATTTTATGCAATGCACAGGTGCTTAGTTGCACAAAAGTCAATGAATTTGCACTGAAGTGCATCAAAATGCATCTGCCTTAATCTGATTTCCCTAAGTGCTCGTTTTGATGCAGACATTTGATTCATGCTAACAGTGCTTTTGTCAAATCTTTATAGTAAAAGTCAGAATTGTTGAGATAAATCAGTTAAAGGTTTAATACAATTAAGTTCTAAAGTTCAAATTAACAGTACATTGAAGAAAGGAGGTCCTTTAAGGGGTTATCTATTAGTTGATTAACAATTTATCTAATTAAAAGTTTTGCTGGTATTTAATCCAAAAATATTGTGTTTTTATTGCAACGATTTTATTCAGGCATTTTATTGCCTTGATTTATCATGAGTTGTGTAATGGCAAAATGGCAGTGCATGACAACCATTATGTAAGACAACCATGGAAGAGGGTTGCGATGGAGGGTCCTTCATTTCTGTATTTCTTAGGCCATTTTTCTCTATTCTTTATCCTTTTTGCCCATATTCTCTATTCTTTATATTTTAGTACCTCATTATTCTCTATTCTATATTTTTTTGGTCCATTTTTCTCTATTCTTTATATTATTTCCCATTATTCCCTATTCCGTAAACCCCCATCCACACCCTCATGGAAATTATTTGTTAATCACATCATCATTATGACAACAAAATAAAATTACATGGTATATCATCTTGATGACAGACATTTTTAACTTTGTGATTCTATGGTAAAACGTTTGGTAGCTTGATTATCATGGCTCAAAATTTTCATTAAATGAATTCCACTGTAAAAAAATTGTGCTTACCATGGCATAAAGTTTGGTATCTTGATTACTGTTGCAAAACGTTTTTATTAAATGAATTCAAAGGTAAAAAGTATATGATTACCATGGCAACAAGTTTTTCTTTAAATGAATTCCAAGGTAAAAACTTTGTAATTACAATTGCACAAAGTTTTTTTTGAATGAATTCTAAGGTTAAAAGTTTGTGATTACCATGGCATAAAGTTTTTCTATAAATGAATTCCAAGGTAAAACGTTTGTGATTACAAAGCCAAAAAGGTTTTCTTTAAATGAATTCCAAGGTAAAAAGTTTGTGATTACAATGGCAAAACGTTTTTCTTTAAATGAATTCAAAGGTAAAAAAGTTTGTGATTACAATGTCAAAAAGTTTTTCTTTAAATGATTTCCAAGGTAAAAAGTTTGTGATTACAATGGCAAAAAGGTTTTCTTTAAATGAATTCCAAGGTAAAAAGTTTGTGATTACAATTGCACAAAGTTTTTTTTGAATGAATTCTAAGGTTAAAAGTTTGTGATTACCATGGCATAAAGTTTTTCTATAAATGAATTCCAAGGTAAAACGTTTGTGATTACAAAGCCAAAAAGGTTTTCTTTAAATGAATTCCAAGGTAAAAAGTTTGTGATTACAATGGCAAAACGTTTTTCTTTAAATGAATTCAAAGGTAAAAAAGTTTGTGATTACAATGGCAAAAAGTTTTTCTTTAAATGATTTCCAAGGTAAAAAGTTTGTGATTACAATGGCAAAAAGGTTTTCTTTAAATGAATTCCAAGGTAAAAACTTTGTGATTACAATTGCACAAAGTTTTTTTTGAATGAATTCTAAGGTTAAAAGTTTGTGATTACCATGGCATAAAGTTTTTCTATAAATGAATTCCAAGGTAAAACGTTTGTGATTACAAAGCCAAAAAGGTTTTCTTTAAATGAATTCCAAGGTAAAAAGTTTGTGATTACAATGGCAAAACGTTTTTCTTTAAATGAATTCAAAGGTAAAAAAGTTTGTGATTACAATGGCAAAAAGTTTTTCTTTAAATGATTTCCAAGGTAAAAAGTTTGTGATTACAATGGCAAAAAGGTTTTCTTTAAATGAATTCCAAGGTAAAAAGTTTGTGATTACAATTGCACAAAGTTTTTTTTTAATGAATTCTAAGGTAAAAAGTTTGTGATTACCATGGCATAAAGTTTTTCTATAAATGAATTCCAAGGTAAAAAGTTTGTGATTACCATGGCAAAAAGGTTTTCTTGAAATGATTTCCAATGTAAAAAGTTTGTGATTACAATGGCAAAAACGTTTTCTTTAAATGAATTCCATTAGGTCAAAAGTTTGTGATTACCATGGTAAAATGTTTGGAACCTGATTATCACGGAAAAAGTTTTACAACTTGATAACCATGGCCACGTTTTCATTAAATGAATTCCAAGGTAGAAAATGTCTGATTACCAAGGAAAAAAGTTTTTGGTTACATTAAAACCATGGCAACAAATTTGTGATTACATAACGAACATGACTAAATGATTTTGCCTGCATGATTAATCTGCCCATTTGTTTATATGACATGATAACAATAAAGTAGTAAGTAGTTAAGATTCAAATAAACAATTAATTTCCCCATAGGCGACAAT